TTACTCTTATCTACTGTATGACTCAAGAACTTCGCTTTACTAAAGAATTTCCTTCACGTAAGAATGAAAAGTTTAGTGTTTGCTACGTTCTAATTAAATTTTTACGATTGCGCCACGCTTTTTGACTTTCGCTCAGCATTGAACTGCATTTTGAAGTCTCATAAAAACGTAAATACAGTAACCTAGAATAGACTACTGTTCGGCTCTTTCTGATGTTTTTTCCTACATGTCTCTGGTACTATTTGGTCAGTCTTGATCAAGTGCGAGGTTAGACATCGAGCAAGGTTCATCCTGAAGACGCTGCAGTACTACTGTATGGGAGTATAGGACCTCTCATACCCATACATGATGTTTGATAAATGAAAGAAAATTTTGTTCTAGTAGTTAAATAGACCGACTAGTCTTTGAAGGTTCAGTTCCCCAATAGAAATAATTCCCTGCATCCCTCTTTGGAATAAATCTTTGGGCCCATGTATGCCACATGGGCGCTGTCGGGGGGGCGAAAAACATCTTAGTGGGTGCAATGAGAGTTCCTTGCTGTCTGCACTGTATGCCACACCCACAGGTGGCAGTGTTTCGATGTTGTTCGGGGCTGCACCATTCACAGTGGAGGAGTGATGTAGGAAATTGATACGGCTAATCATAGAAAACAACAAGTAACGTAACAATAAACAAAAACAACAAAACTAAACAAATTAGCAACATTAGCATAGCAACAAGAACGTCCCGTTCAATACACACAGCTCCGACTCATGACGATAGTGACAGGCATTTTTTGGTTTTTTTTCTTACGGTAGTCACATCATTACGCAAGTGCACACAACTAACAACTGGTCGAAATACCTCGTTTCACGTCTCTTCTGTCGTCATAATCTCGTACAACCACTTACTCTACTATCTAGATATCTATGTTCTTGAAGTCCAGAGATTTCCGCGTCTCTTCGCAACAAATGCGCCAATGTTCTAGGCCTACTTCCAATACTCAACTCAAAACAGGCACCTCAAAACTGTCGCTAACTGTACCTTCGAACTTGCCGTGAACTGAATGCACCCTCAACTGCAATACGTTTTGTACGATTTTTTCAATGAAGAAATCGAAGTAAAGTAAACTGTTCAACGCTAAGCGCTTTATTCATCTTCATATGAAAAGTGGAACAGCACCCAGACTGATGAATTTTATAGAATCGTAGTATAGGTCAGGATGTGCCAACGAGTGACCTCTACGAAAGAATTTGGTAATATGTGCTACGCTAATCCTGCCAAAACCCTAAAATTTTACTGATTAAAAATGAAAGATCCTGTTGCACGGTTAGACAAGATCGTCGTACTGAAAGTGACCTAGTTTCGGAAAACTCGCCTTTTGGCTCCTCCTGACCCATACGTCATGACCTTTACTTTATGTAGAAATATCTACAAGTGAAATAACTTTGTATTTAATCACTAGAACATTCTCGATTGTTACCAAACAGAGGGAAACTATTAGTGAACACTAACACTATGCTAGCTCGACAACGTGAACAGGGTCGTAATTGGACTAATCAATAAAGCTCAGGATCAATTGGACAATTTCAAGATCGATAACCAAATCAGTATTGGTACAAATACAACTAGTAGAACTGGGATGACAGACAGATCACCTATATATCTATGTACACACAGCATAGAACTCTCCTAAAACAACCGTTTTCATTCCCAAACACTCGCGCAAAATCGGATGGCGAGTAACTTTTTCCTTAGTATCCGATATATTCTGCTCCTCTACTAGACTACTTCAGTGCTGAGTCCGAGCAATAAGTGAAAAATGGCAAAAATACCTATTTAGAATCAATTACCTCTAGATACCTAATTGCCGCTAAACTTCAAAAGTGTTAGGACAGGTCAGAGTGCGATTTTCCCGCGCGCGATAGCTGAAGCGATACCGTTGCGCGACAATTTTTCGCCGCGGTTGTCACTTGCGTGTGTCGCTACCGCGCGCGGAAAATTCGCGTCCTGACTTCACGGTACACACCTCTGAAACCTGATATAGCGTATATACAGCGAATTGGACAATTATTATCAATTAAT